ATCGCCAACGATATTAATTGCACTTTACTGTTTTGTATCGCCAACGATATTAATTGCACTTTACTGTTTTGTATCGCCAACGATATTAATTGCACTTTACTATTTTGTATCGCCATCATCTTAATGCTTTTAATTGATGTATCTGTAATTTTATAAGAAGTATATTGTTTTATTAGTTTTATGGGAGCCGCCCTGAGCCCGCCTTTGGCGGGGGGGAAAGACAAATCGATAAATAAAATAAATTTCTGACTTTGTTTTTGGTGCAGTCAGAATTTGGAAAAAAAACCTTTCTCTACTCATCCTATGGTTATGAAGCCAATATTTATCATATTTACTTGCAAGGAAGATGGCACAGAATGTAAGATGACCTCCCCTTTAAAATGTATGCAATTTTTAAAAATTATTATTGGACATAACTGTAACTTATATGGAAATGTAAGATGACCCTGTCTTTTTGTTTTGTTTCCTTTTCTCTGACGGCATACCTGTGAATAAACCTACTGTTACATTTGACTAAATACTGTATATATGATGAAAACTGGACTGGTTTCAGGTAGCAACCTCTCCCCCAAACTTAAAAGATTTGGAAATGAAATCAAAGCCTCAAACGACAAGTAATGCCCAGGGGGTTTTTTAGTGCCTCACCGCAGATCAAGAACGGTCTGTGTGAGTGTATGTGAGAGCCAGTTTGGTGTAGTGGTTAAGAGTGGTGGACTCTAATCTGGGAGAACCGGGTTTGATTCCCCACTCCTCCACATGCAGCCAAGCTGGCTGAACTTGGGTCAGTCACAAGTTCTCTCAGAGCTGTTCCCTCAAGGGCAGTTCTCTCAGAGCTCTCTCAGCCCCACCTCCCTCACAGGGTGTCTGTTGTGGGGAGGGGAAGGGGAAGGAGCTTGTAAACCGCTCTGAGACTCCGAGTGAAAGCCGGGGTATAAATCCAATCTCTTCCTCTTCTTCTATGTACCTTTTTTGCCTTTTGTGCATTTAAAATCTCTCCTCGGCTACCTTCTCACAAGGGGGGGGGGACCACCTATCTTCAACCATGCAGGTGAGAAAGCAGCTTGGGGTAAGCGGACAAAAACCAGGACCATCCTTCTGTCCATGCTGCTCTCAGTATTGCAGCCTCCCTATGGACGCTTTGCATTTAAAAAAGAAAGAAATTTCCAAGAGAGGGGGGAAAAAACACCACGTAACAGAGTATCCTGTTGTTCAAGCCGTCATTAGCGTTACAGCTGGTCTCGGATAACTGCAAAGGGAAATATAATTAAGCCGTCGCTGAGAACAGCTGCAAGTCTCTGCTGCAATTCTTGGCTGTCTGGGTTGAGTCATCCCTCAGGAATGTACAGTTCTGCATTAAAAATGGACATCCATATTTGCAGAGGAAGGACATCCACTTTCAAGGCATAAAAAGACACCATCTGAACAGATAAGGGGGATAATGGAAGGTTTAGGTCTACTCCCCAATTACAAGTTACAGGGGCAGCCCACAGAGGATCTTCCTAAATCCAGACATGGGACATCTCAAGAGTCAGATTGGTGGCTGCAGGAACAGTGTGTGTGTGTATTAGGGGAGGATAATTCTACCTGTTCTGGGCATGTCAGAAGTATCTCGTTAATCCATGCCAGGAGAAATATAGAAGAGTGTTGTTTGAGATTATGACGGATTACCAGGGCTTTTTTTGTAGAAAAAGCCCAGCAGGAACTCATTAGCATGATAGGCCACACCCAACAGCAGAAACTCATTAGCATATTAGGCAACACCCCTGACAGCACAGCTCATTGGCATATTAGGCCGCACCCCCATGTTACCAGAAGTGTGCTCATCCAGCCACACCCACCTTTTGTTTCTTATTCTGTTTATCCTGTTTGTTGTCAAAACCCAGGGCTTTTTTTGTAGCAGGAACTCCTTTGCATGTTAGGCCACACACCCCTGATGTAGCCAATCCTAATGAGTTTCTGCTGTTGGGTGTGGCCTACTATGCTAATGAGTTTCTGCTGTTGGGCGTGGCCAACTTGGAAACCAGCCGGAACTCCGTTCCTGTGCGTTCCTGCCCAAAAATAGCCCTGGGGATTACTACATTGAGCCTTTATTCAACCAATCGTCCCCCTATACTCTGGAAACCCTGGCTCTTTTGCTCAGTGATAACTATCCCAAGATCACTCCAGCAGTTGCAAAATTTGTCTCAGTCCTTTTAGCCCTTGCGTCTAAGAAATAATAAGTGTTTCCTGCTGCTCAAGATTCGTGAAGCAATGAGCTTCTAAGGGTACAAAAGGAAAGGAAAGAGCTTCTGAACTCCTTCTGATTTCCGAACACTTGAGGAAGTGGAGCACCGACATGTTGGATGCTGCATCCAGAACGAATGCTTTGGAGGACAATCAGAACCAAGGGAAAGACATCGGGAGCTGCATGGCAGCAACAAAAGAAACGCTAAATTCATAGGATCACACCATTGAATCTGAAATTTAGAAGCCACTTTTCGAGAAATTACAACAGCTTTGGATCAAACTGGATGTGATGAGGAAGGCCTGCGTCTACCCCGTCCATGCATAAAGTATGGTGGTGGTGGTGGTGGTGAGGGGGTACTTTCTGCAGCACACCTGAAGGGATGTGTGTGTGTGGGGAGCTACTTGGCCCCTTTCTCACCCCATGCTTTATCACTTCAGGTACTTCCAGTATCAAATCTAAGCTGTGATACCAGTGCTCAGGATGCTGGAATGAGGGGGGGGGGTAAAGGCAGAGAATGGGGGAAGCTCCAATTCTTCTCTCCCACTGACTCCTTTTGAAGTTGCAGACAGAAGCCTCCTTCATTTGTGTCAACAGGAACGGTACAGAAATACACCAGGGTAACAACAATAACCCTTAATGGCGTATCACAACATCACAAACAGGCTTGTATACCAGTGTACGAGAACCAATCTTGAAAAGCAATGAAGTTGGCAAAAAGTAACAAAAGGCCGCAAGGGGTCAGAAAGCAATTTTTTCTCCAAGTCAGTTTGGCTGGAGATGCTGGAGGTTTTTTGTCATCTTCTGGGCGTGGAGGTGTCGGGGGGGGGGGGGAGGGGGAGTATTTGTGAATTTCCTGCATTGTGTTGGGCTAGATGACCCTAGAGGTCCCTTCCAACTCTATGATTCTAAGGCAAGATCCCTGCCACTTCTGTTAGCACATGGGACTCAGGCTTCAAAGTGTCACTCTTGGATAGGGTTCTCATTAACTCATCCAAGGCAAGGGTTTACCCATCTCCATCCCAGATTTCCTGCCCTTGAACTGAGCAGTGGGAGAAAAAAAAAATAGCCTCCACATAGTGCCGCTAGGAATTTCCCCTATTCTCCATGGTAAAGACCACAGTGAAGGTGACCCAGAGGTGGCATCACATCCTCCCCAAAGTGTAACATCCTCAGGCACCACCAAAATCTCCCTGCGTTTGCCAAGGCAGGGTTGGGAAGCCTATTCTTGGAGAGAGAACAGGATTTCCAGGTATGCGTTCCATCAAGAATCATCCTGAGAACTGGTGCAGTTGTCTTTGACTTGGAATCACCTTTGCTTAATAACTTGAGAGATATTCATCTCAATAAGCAACCTAGCTGCTGGGAGATGAACCCATCCTTTCCCCGGCATCAGCCATCCCTACCTTCACTTCCACATGGGCCATCAGGACGGCAAAGTTGGTTAAGTGGTTACAGGAGCACGTGGTGTGTGTCTTGTTGGTTGTCAGGAGTCGACATCCTTGCGTTGACCAATACCCTGTCATTGTGCGTTTAGAATAGCTCCAGAATGAACAGTTAGGGTTGAAATTTTCCTCTGACTGCTATAGGGAAGAAATAAATGCATGTAATGGAAACACTTAAGTATTAAAACACACATTATGTTCTCCCAGCCACCAGCAACAGAGGTTGATCTTACAAATTCTACTTGTGCACATCTAAGAATGATCACTACCTTTCTCACTTCAGTACAATGCAGCCTTAATTCTTTGTTCCTGGTTTGTTTTGGTCAAAAACCAACAAGGCCCTACAGAACGAACTTGCTATTCGCATTGCGAAACTGAAAATTCGTTACTGTACAATGTTCGTTACAGAAGTGCTCAAACTTGGTAATCTGAATCATGGCCACCAAAACCAGCATTTACTCTCTTCCTAGTAGCCAAGATACAAAAAAATTACACAAACAGAGACTAAAACAGTTGCCTACCCCAAGCCCTTGGGAGGGAATGACTATAAATCAAATAACTCAGTTTCATTTCAAACAGATCATTACGTAGAACAATGTTTGAGTCCAGTAGTACCTTTAAGACAAAGTTTTGTTCAAGGTATAAGCGTTCATGTGAATGAGCACTTCTTCAGATACATGCACACGAAAGCTTATACCTTGAATTAAACTTCGTTGGTCTTAAAGGTGCCACTGGAAGCAAACTTTGTTCTGCTGCTTCAGATCAACACGCTACCCACCTGAATCTATTTTCATGGAAGATGATTATGTAATGTTGATATTAACAATCAAATGATGGATTCTACACAAGAGAGAGCACATTGTTACCCCTTACACATGCACACACAAGGCATTTCCCATAAGATATCTACTAAACACAATCTAAAAGCACTCATTCAGAATTAACTGGGATCCATAGCACCTTGACTAAGAGAAGTGATGCAGGCACGAAAAACAGAAAATGTTTTATGTGTTTTTTTAAAGGTAAAAAGGAAAAACAAACCAGGGTGAAATACGTGATTACCTTACCTTGATGTGCCTGACTGTGAACACGACAGGATCAGCCAGATAAACCTTATTGCTGAATTCTTTATTTATTGCCGCAGTGATAATGGGAGAATTCACAATGACCGAGTGATTGGTAGACATGGCTTCCATTCCCAGCTTCATGCTGGCGTTCTCTGTGGACAGGTAGGGGCCCAGGTTGTTGTACAGGACAAAAGCCACCCTGATTTCACCTGGAAAAGAGGAAAGGAGCTCTCCTTTCATTCCCATAAGCTCATTTCTCAGCACCGGATAAAATTCGTATGCAGCAGAAAATACTCTGTTATCTCAAAGTATCCTCTCAGTTTTGAGAGGAAGTGTCTTAATTGAAAGTACTAGAATAAAGAGAGTCTATTACTGTCTACCATAGATCCACGAATTTCAGCCTCTCATTATTTTTAAAGAAAAGCACCATCTTCCTATAACTCTCCCAAAGCTCCAGGTTCCAAAATTATCTTCTATGATTCTTTATTGAAAATTATTGGTATAATACCAGAACTCAGCTGATGCTTTACTTTCCCCTAGTTTGGGATTATTATTATTTTTTGAAATCTAAGGATTCATATGAACTTGGTGATGTCAGTTTCCCCCCCGCCCCCCTTTTATACCATAATAGACATATATTGATCTCATAGTGTTCTGGGGCGGCGGGAGACAGGGGACATGAACTGAATATAACTGAATCAGCATGCCACAGTGTAACTGTGAGGCCCAATGATAACGATATCTTTTTGGAAAATTCTTCCACAGCTATGTTTGATGCAGTATTTCATATGCTGTTCTGGACTTGCATACATTTTCAAAAACCCTCTCCCACTGGAGCAGTTTGGGAGAAGAAATATTTAATGGGAGTGTAACGAAAAGAAATAATCTTAACTGTCTTCTCTCTCCGACAACATTCAACACTTCCTTTAAGGAATTAATGTAAGTCTGTCAACGCTAGAGCTGTGCCATCTGGGCGCAGAGCAAATCTGATTTTTTTTATCCTCCAGTTTTATCCTCAAAATTGCGTTATCCCATATAATGTTAATGTTAAGATCTCAATAAAGCGGGGGGGGGGGGGGGGGAGATCTAAGGCCAGTCAATCTTTGTCTCAATAAAGCTTTACCCTCCTATCAGCAAAAAGGGGGAAACGATGCTGAACTACTTTTCCAGGCTGTTGTAAAGATGGCAATGAGATAATGTATGCAAAATATATTCAGGCTGCGGTCACACGTAACAGAAGCCACACAAGTGAGACGGAAAACAGCCGGAGTTTCCGGGCGCGATCTCACCAGCACATCTGGGAAGCGTAGCACTCCCGTGGCTCAACTGAGGCTTCCAGCCGAAACTGCGTGGCAAAAAACTAGTACCTTGGAGGTACTAGTTTCCGGAAACTGCGGGGCAAGGGCGGGCGTCTGATCGCGTTTCCGGAGGCATCCGGCGCCCGCCCATGTCCCCTTGCAAATAAGGTGTTTTTTTTTTTGTCCAAGTCTCTGTGGATGCGCATGTGCACCCAACGGAGCATGCGCATTTGTCATGTACACAAAAATAAACAACAATTTGCCGCGGCGCGCGCTTCTTCGTTGTGCGCCGGCTTGTCCTGTGATCGGCACCTCTCCCTTGCCATGGAACCTCCACGGTACCTCCACGGTACCTCCACAGGAGGTCTGATCACGTAACTGCGCAGTAGTTTGCCCCAGGGCAAACAGCCACGCTTCTCCTCTGCAGTTTCCTGCCCGTGTGACCGGGGCCAAAATACTTTAAAATCATGACATCTAATAAGGTCAGGCGGCTAGCCCTCACCATGCCATTCACAAATCAAACCACCCACAGAAAAGGTGTGTGTGGGGTCTCTCTATACTCAGGGTCTTCAGAAAAACATTACTGAGAATTAACTAAAGAAAGAAGGGAAAAGCAAAAACAAATCGTCTTGCAGAAAACTTCATATACTCCAAAGGCACTGAATGCTTAGCTTGTGGAATCTGGAAGGGCAAGAGTTTGGGGTATGGTGAGGATTTCTGACTAGTTCCTGTTGGATATTGTAACTCTGTAAGCAAGAGGATCTGGGAGGAAAAGGGTTAAGAGAATTCTCTCAGTCGGCAATTGGCCCCACCCTCTCATCAGTTCGATGTTGAGCCTTGTGAAGAAATGCATTTTCTCCTGGGAGGCTGGCAAGCAGGAAGTCCATCAATTGCTTTCCAGGCCCACCTGTTAAGAAATGCTAATGGGCCTAGAAGGAAAGACAAAGGGATGGTCAAGCCCCCCCCCCTCCAGGCAGGGAACAGAGTTTGGAGGGCTTTAGCCTAGAACAGCTGAGGAATAATCTCCAGGAACAGAATGGAGGAGATGCCTCTTCGACCTGGGCTGACAGGGGTCAAGTGGGAGGGGAACCAGTGATGATAAAATCTCAGTGAAATAGGAAATATCTCTCTTTCCTTTGGGATGCAGCGTTCAGGAGAACTCTGACCTGAGGTTTGCAAGCAGGCAACCATTAACTATGTGGTTGGACTCGACATCTGAAGTGAGCCTGAAGGTAATGGTAACTCCGTAGATATCTGTAAGTTCCTAAGCTAAAGAGCCTGTCCTATTTTAACAGCTGATAGGACAAGTATAGAGAGAGGGACAGAGGATATGTGTTTTTCTACCAAAATCTTTTCTATCCCTTGCTCAGATTTGAAGCTGTGCTAAAAGTGCGCTTGTAAAGTTTTTCTTTTTAATAAATACTTTATAACTTTTGATGCTGGGAGTGATTCTCTGTACTACATAGACCTCCACTGTTTCAGAGACACTATTTTAAAAAGGGGCTCCAGGCAATGTTCCCTCTAAGCTGTGTAGCCCTGTGAGCAAAAATTCTACTTTGTGAGCTGCTGGCATTAAAGTTGTGAGCAGGTGATTTGGCTACTGCATAAATTAGTCTGCTCTGGAGCCATCCTTCCTGAGCTAAGACAAAAATGTGTGAGCCACAGGCTAAAAAACTGTGAGCTAGCTCACACTAACTCAGCTTAGAGGGAACACTGGCTCCAGGGAGTTGGCAAGCGGCTCTTCCTCCAAAAGCACCCAAGGCATTAATTTGTCTCCGTGGTGGCCAGGCACTAGGTAGTGGGAGACACAGAGGCAAGTCCTCAGAACTTGGAAGGGAAGCTGGGAGTTCTGTCCCTCCCAGCAGGCAATTCCTTGAAAAAGGGCAGGTGGTGGTAGCAGCTACCCTATAGTGAAAGAAAAAGAACCTCCAGGGAGTTGGGAACCCCAAGGAGGTCAGGACAGAAATGGGGCCTGCAGGCTGGAGCAGGGATGTTCTGCCACAAGCCAGTTTGGTGTAGTGGTTAAGTGCGCGGACTCTAATCTGGGAGAACCGGATTTGATTCCCCACTCCTCCGCTTGCAGCTGCTGGATGACCTTGGGCAAGCCATAGTTCTAACAAGAGCTGTCCTTGTAAGGACAGTTCTTGAAAGAGCTCTCTCAGCCCCACCTGCCTCACAGGGTGTCTGTTGTGGGGAGGGGAAGGGAAAGGGGTTTGTAAATTGCTCTGAGATGCTGAGTGAAGGGCGGGGCATAAATCCAATCTCCTCTTCCTCCTCTTTGGCTGTTGATTGCCTTCTGTTTCATCTTATATAGAACCTCTCTTCTTCACCCTCTTACCTGGGCTTGGAGGTGTAGTGAGTTATCCTTTTTGAAGTTAATTGTTCACAATAAGTTAAGTGTACCTGCATGAATATGTCATGTAAGATGTGCTTCTATTTTTGCAAGTAAAATTGCTCTCGTTACCATTGGAGTCACATCATCTTTGTAATTTGTTTGAGCAGCATTTTCCCCTTAACTGGGAAACGTGGAGAATTGGGGATAATGAGAAAAAGCTTCTGTGCTTCCAAGGCAAATGATAGGTTTATAAAAAAAATATTTAACACAATAGTTCCAACCTCCCATGATTCTTCACAGCCCCCCAGCTTATACCATACTAATGTCATCACTGGTAGTGACACAAGGAATTCAAATTTGCTACTCTCCCGATGTTATCTTTAATGCCCTAGAAGTCACTGCAGCATGTCTCTGCCCTATGCAGGACACGATGATGTGGCTTCTTCCTACACTAGCTGTGGCTCTTTCCTGGGAACTGAAGTAATGCTGGTGAGGCAAGAACTACCAGTGTGGTGGTTTCATACTTCTGATGCTACCGTGCGGTGTGATTCCCCTGCAAAGTGCCAAACTCACCATTTCGGCCATTCTGCTTCAACGTGTTCGCTGAGAGCTGGATGGTGCTGCCGTGCCCAGTGTTCTGTGGAAACTTCAGGTCTTCCAGGTTCCCGTCTGTGCTCAGCCGTGCAACTTCAAGTTCTGTTTGCACAGAAGAGGTAGAAAACGGCATGTACACACAAAGGACGTAACAGATCAAAAACCACAGGAAAAACCGTCCAGAAGCAATATTATGATGAATCTTTTGATTTCGTTTTCGACTTCAACACACCGCCAAAGAATGAAATTTGAGTCTGGTAGCACCTTAACGACCAATGAAATTTCCCAAAGCTTTTGTGAGACATCACTTACTTTATCAGATCTGGCAAAGTAAGCTTTGATACATGAAAACTTACACCCTGGAAAATTTTGTTGGGCTTAACAATGCTACCATACTCAGATTTTGTTCTTCAGAGAGAGAGAGAGAGAGAGACAAAGAGAGAGAGAGAGAGAGAGAGAGAGAGAGACAAAGAGAAAGAGAGAGAGAGAGAGAGAGAGAGAGAGAGAGTGTCATGCAGTGTCATTCTGAGTAGTATCCCACTGAAGCCACTGGAATTAGTTGACTGTAACTTCTGAAAAAGCCCCACTGCTTAATGGGGGCACAGTCACGACCAACGCTCCCTCAGTTTTGCTCTGGAGCCCTCCTTCCTGAGCAGAGACCAAAGTGTGTGAGCCGGAGGCCAAAAAACGGTGAGCTAGCTCGCACTAACTCAGCTTAGAGGGAACATTGGTCACGACTAACTTACTGGAACAAGAACAGCGGTACTGTTGTAGCTACTGCAAACATAAACACCACATAAAGATGAACAGAGCTTTGGGCTCCTTTCATGACTTCCTCCTGAAGAAGGTTTAGATTTAATTCAAAGCTGCAAAGAAGAACTCCTCTTTCATGTTCCACAAAGTCAACAAAATTCTCCAGTGAGCACGCTACTGTAAGTGACCCAAGCAAAAACGGAGACCAGTGAGCATTTTGGCTAGCGGAGCCTGGTGTTTTGTTTTTCCCCCCACCGGCACTGCACAGCTGTGACGGGATGAAAAGAGGAGAGCTAATCCTTCATTGTGGGCACTGTATAATGGGGGTGTACATTTTTCATCAAGTTTACTGAAGCGCTGTATATCATGCTAAGCCTTAGGGATAGGAGAAGGTATAAATTGAAATAAATCTTTTGGATTAGGTGTAACTAAAGAGAGGCAATTACATTACATTAGAAATCGGCTTCCTTGAGAAATGGGGTTCACAGTCCTATCAGATGTACATAAATTATGGAGCCAGAGACAACGGCGTACGGTCTACGACTCCATGGAGGATTCTTACTCACCAGAAACTTTACACGAGTGAACTTTGTTAGCCAGTATCCCAAGGAGTTTCTGAGTAAAGCGCAAAATGCTTTCTGAGAGGCTTGTTGGCCAGTCTTAAGATTCACAAGCGCAACGCTGGAGCCTTTCGCAACGGGGGAACCAAATCTTGCTCCAGGGCAGCCTCACAGAACTTAATAGTGTGCGAGTGGACTAGTGCCAACAATTGATTCTTAGCCTAGATTGCCATGCTATTACTGACAATTTTAGTGCCTAAAACCTTCCAATCGCAGACCTTAGCAAAGCAAACTACTAGTATAGTCCAATTTCCTAGGTAAATAACATAATTTTATGTTTGCCGAATGGGATTCCGGATGCACAAAACGTCATTATTTCTAGAGAACACGGACTTGTTTGGCTTTTGTATTCTGTGGTGCTCAAAGTCACGCTGGGAAAGAATTCTCCACAAAAGAGTTCCAATGCCCAACGGGCACCATCAGCAGCGAGCCTCCTGTTGAGCTTCTGTACAAGACTGGCATCTAGAAATGCCAGCGGGCAAAAGAGGAGGGAGTGAAGGACATGGGCACATACAGAGCAGCTGCCTTTGTTGTCCCGAGGACGAGATGGAAAGGGCAGAAAGAGTGACTGGAGTGCAAGTCGGCCCAGAAGAAGGGCAGACTCTGTTCTGGTAAGAAAATGTTATTTCAGGCAAGTCAAAATTACGATCCCTTTCTGACAGTCTAGCCAATAAACCCCCTCCCCGAGGGAGGGCTCTGAGCTGTGCTTGGCCCAGAGCAGAGAGGTTCTCCTGCTCTCACCAGTCCATTTCTTCTCTGGCTTGAGGAGTCCTGGTGAATGTTGTAGGCTATGTTCTGTACCATGACTAGGCAGGTCAATTTTCCTTCTCTCGTGCTCAGTGTGAGGCTACTTTACCAGGGAGTAGGTTTTTCCGCATTCCACTTTTCCTCGCTTGTGTGTTCCTGTCGCTTTGGGTTTTTCCCTGTTCCGCATGCGTTTCGCTCCCTCTAGTGGTTGATTTGATATTACAGCACTCTATGTCCGGCATATCTCCCAGAAGATTTGAACTGCAGGTTTTTACGCTGGACATAAAGCAGTGTAATATCGAATTGACCACTAGAGGGAGCAAATCACATGTGGGACAGACGCCCCCCCCCAAAAAAAGCAACAGGAACACACAAGCAAGGAAAATGAGAATGCAAAACCCCCCAATGTCTTAAGACTGCTGCAAGCATGTATCCACATGGGCAGACATGCTGGTTCCCAACGTTTCATCAGACCCTGGCTTGACTAAGAAAAAGAACACAGAGGCAGGCGTAAGAATGGAATGGCGGTCTCCCTGGGGGCATATCCAGTCCCTACCCTGTTGGTGCCCCCCAAATGCGTATCATCCATAAAAGTGAAAGGCAAAGCAATTAACGGTTGTGAGGGTTTAGGAGGGAAAACTGCCCACTGCTCTCAAGACCGGGTTATTCTGCTTCCACCAAAAGGGATCCCATACTGGATGGGTGGGGAGGGGAGAGAGTACCATGCATCACTACGACCCACCAGAGGTTCTTGTCTTATGCAACCTCTCCATATTCCCAAGGGCACCATGATGGCAGAAATTTTTAACTAGTCATTAATACACAGGGCTTTTTTTGTAGAAAAAGCCCAGCAGGAACGCATTAGCATAATAGGCCACACCCAACAGCAGAAACTCATGAGCATATTAGAACACAGCCCTGACAGCACAGCTCATCAGCATATTAGGCCACACACCCATGTTACCAGAAGTGTGGTCATCCAGCCACGCCCACCTTTTGCTTCTTATTCTGTTGACCTTGTTTCTGGTCAAAACCCAGGATCTTTTTTTGTTGCAGGAACTCCTTTGCATGTTAGGCCACACACCCCTAACGTAGCCAATCCTAATGCATTTCTGCTGCTGGGTGTGGCCTATTATGCTAATGAGTTCCTGCTGGGCGTGGCCAACTTGGGAGCCAGCCGGAACTCCGTTCCTGTGCGTTCCTGCCACAAAATAGCCCTGTTAATACACTTGATGAAATTAAGTTCTGACTTGGAGGAAGAATCGACAATCCCGTCAAGTTAGCAGACACCCAGCCGTGACCCAGATAGCCCAGGCAAGCCCGATCTTGTCAGAACTTGGAAGCTAAGCAGGGTCGACTCTGGCAAGGACTTGGATGGGAGACCTCCTTGGAATACTAGCAGTCGGGAGGGCAGGGGCGGGCTTTATTCAACCGCCTCTCTGAATATCCTCCAGGCCCCCAGTAGGGGTCAGTCACCAGAGGTCGCCATGAGGCACACAGTCAGTCACCAGAAGTCGCTATCACTCTCACACACAGATGGAATTTTTTTTAAAACCCAAGAAGTTAGAAGACGCCCAAGGAAAACAAACAGATCGAGAAAGCGAAAGAGACACAAATAAGTATGAAATTTAAAAAAAAAACAGGCTTGGGAGGACAGCCAGACAAACAAGGCCTAAATGACCTAAGTGAACATCCCCAATAGCCTGACAGATAAAGCCTGCCTGTATTTCCCAGAAATCTCATCAAGAACAAAAAGGGGGAAAGGCAGGGGTCATTTGGGGGGGGGGCCGGGGGGGGACGCCATCCCCCCGGGTGAGGGGCGGGAGGGCAGAGCCTGGAGCTCTCTGCTGGTGCCCGCTGGAGGTCGCCGCCGGCTGTGGGGAGGACACACTTCCGGTGATGTCAGGGGGTGTAGCATATGCTAATGAGTTATGCTAATGAGTCCCCCTATCTCTTTTTCTACGAAATGACCCCGGGGGAAAGGGAATTGGTAGGAAAGAAAGAGAGACATCAGGGAAGAGCTGTGCCCTCCAGAAATTTCAAATGAAAAGGAGGAAGAAAGAGTAGATAACAATTAGATAAGCACAATGGATGCATAGATTCCATTTAAGAGGTAACAGGAATGGATTTAAAACGAAGGAGAAGAGAATGACAGTTAAAAAGAATAAAGAAGGGGAAATTGTTGAAGCAAAAGGTTTCAAACAAAGAAGAGGGAATCTGCTCAAGAGGACAGGAGGAAAGAAAGAAACAGACGTGGTAATGGGAGTAGAGAAAAATAAATGTTTGATTATATGGAAGAAGAAATCACAGAAGAAAGCTATCTAGAACCATAAAGTGAGAATGGAGAAGAAATGTAATATCCCAAAATAATTCCTCAAAAGGCTCGGGAGAAAAGGAATGACAGGGAGGAGAAGGAGCCTGAAGAGGTGAAGCTGAAACAGGAAAGAGGTTTTAGGAAAGAATTACAAATAAGGGAAGAAAAGTTAAATTGCTGAGCTTGAGGCAGACAAGAAGGAAGAAAGCATGAAGTTGAAAAATAAAAATAATCCTGAGCTTATGCCAGAGATGTTCTGTGGAACAAGTAAAAAGGCGCGGAGATAATGAACAGTCGGGAGTACGCCAAAGTTGAGGGGGGAAAAGACTTTGTGATTGGGAACACAATGGAACAAACTAATTTAATGAGACAGGAAGCACTGAAGTAAATATGGCAGCGTCAACAGAGGAAGCAGCTAAGAAGACAGATCAAGAGAAAGATATTTAGGGATCTTCTCGTTATCCAGTGATTGAAAGTCCTGAAAAAGGATGAGAACCACCGGAAAGAATTCTAAAGAAGTGTAAATGTAACTAAATTGTGACCTCAGAGGGGAAAGGGGAAATAGCAAGCCCAACAATAGAAGAAGGGAGAAAAAGAAAAAAAACCCTGAGATCCACCATGTTACTAGCTGTTTGAGCAGGTCATAGAAACTAAAAAAAAATTGTTGTGCAGAAACATTAGAATTGGAATCTAGATGAAATTAAGGGAGCAATCCTAAGCAGATCTTCTCATAAACGGTCCCATTTTCTTTTTCTTTTTCTTCTTTTTTTTGGGGGGGGGGTATTTGTTCAATATGTGCATGTGTGTGCGTGTGCGCACCTGGAAGTCATGGCGACCTCTGGTAACTGATCCCTACTGGGGGCCCAGAGGATATTCAGAGAGGTGGCTGAATAAAGCCTGCCCCTGCCTCCTGCCCCTGGTATTCCAAGGAGGTCTCCCATCCAAGTACTTGCCAGAGTCGATCCTGCTTAGCTTCCGAGATCTGATGAGATCGGGCTTGCCTGGGCTATCTAGGTCAGGGCAGTGTTCCATTTTATTCAATGGGGCTTACTCCCAGGAAAGGGTTCTCAGGACTGCAGCCGAAAACGAAGACGACAGCAGCAGAAGCAGATGTTATGTGCTTCTCCCTGGCATTTCTTTCTTTGTGGGAAAACTGTTGACAGGTGGGTGATAATGCTAAACCAGCTAGATGCTTGCTGATGAGTTTCCCCCACCACCACCAATATCAGCTACTCTAGAACCCAGCAAAGGCATTTTGCTGGCAATACCAAAGCTTTTCTGTGGCTTCTTGAAATTCTTTGGCCAGCTCTCCTAAGCAAGAGCCTCCAATTCTCCCTGGACATTAGCTGAAATAAAACCAAATGGACAACTTTTCTTCCAGAACGGGGCCTGCACTGCTGGCAGGTTCCACACAATTCTCTCCCACCCCCCCAGGCGGTAACTGTGAAAACTAGGTCACTCTCGCAACCCCAAACAACTGCTTTAAATTAGTTGTTCTCAGCTAAGTAAGCAGCAACCCAACTCGGGTTGCCAGTTCTGCGTTGGGAAGTACTTGGAGATTTTAGAGGCGGAGCCTGAGGAGGGCGGGGTTTGGGAAGGGGAGGGACTTCAATGGGGTATAATTCCATTCCGTCCACCTTCCAAAGCTGCCATTTTCTCCAGCTGATCTCTGTTGACTACAGATCAGTTGTAACAGCGGGGGATCTCCAGCCATCGCTTGGAGGTTAGCAACTCTAAACACCACAGCCGAGCAAACACCACCAACAAGGCAATCTCTACTTACGAATGTTGTCGGTGCTCTCCCTCACGATATCAGTCTTGAGAAGGTTGTCGGCCAACACGAAGGCACTCTCCTCCACGGTGTCCAGTAACATGGTTGCTGCGCGCAGCTGATCGCTGGCCGGTAGGTCCCTCCAAGCGTTCAAAGCTTGTGGCTGGAGGAGGTTATTGACAGTCTCAACCATAGCCTGGGAAGAGGAGGAACAAGGTTGATTCCCAGAGAGCCTCTTGCGAACACTAGGTTCCTGCTGCCCATCCTGCAGGAACCAGGCATTCTTCAAACTCAGGTTTATCAGCAAAGCGGAGCTGGGTTACACCCGATGTCAGTATCTCTTGTAAAACCAGGTTAAGGATCAAACTAGATAGAACAGGGCAGCCATGTCTGTTCATTTGTCATGTACCAATTGGAGTATCCGAGTCAATTTACCACCAAATGGAGGCCCGGGAGAAGTGAACTCTTCCCTCACCTCGCCTCCCTTCACTTCCTTGCTTCAGGCACTGTTTCCCCCCCATTAGTCTGATTTTGGAGCCCAGGTGGAGAGGAAAGTGCCCAGAGTGAAGGACTAATGGGGAGGTAGGGTCAGCCGCCCTCACCTGTGCACCCTTTGAAATCATTAACGTTTGACCTCACTCCCTGCTCATCAGCGAACGGGGACACAAACGAGGGAAAGAAACATGACCTTTCCTGCCATGTCCCGAGTAATAGCATTCAAATACTATTTCCCACAGGTCAGCAGGTACTGGTGAGGAAAATGCACAACATTTCCAACAAGTCCATTCAGTAAAAAGAGTCAACCTCGAGGCGCTGGTTTATATCTTCCTTTCGAGTATACCATTTTGGCAACTTTTGGAGTACAAACTTCCAGAAGATAAGATCCAGTTGGTCAGCCATGTTGGTCTGAAGCAGAACAAGAAATTTAGAGTCCAGTGGCACCTTTAAGACCAACAAAGGTTTATTCAAGGTATGATCTTTCGTGTGCATGTTGCGTGTGCCGTTCTAACGTATTTGATAAAGTGCGCGTGCACATGAAAGTGCATACCTTTTAAAAAAAAATTTCCCCAAATTATCTCACATTTTATTTAAGGCCAGGGCTCTTTTTGTAGAAAAAGCCCAGCAGGAACTCATTAGCATAATAGGCCACACCCAACAACATGGACTCATTAGCATATTAGGCCACACCCCTGACAGCACAGCTCATTACCACATTAGGCCGCACCCCCATGTTACCAGAAGTGTGGTTATCCAGTCACACCCACCTTTTGCTTGTTATTTTGTTTACCTTGTTTGTTGTCAAAACCCAGGGCCTTTTTTTGTAGCAGGAACTCCTTTGCCATGTTAGGTCACACACCCCTAATTGTAGCCAATCCTAATGAGTTTCTGATGTTGGGTGTGGCCTATTATGCTAATGAGTTCCTGCTGGGTGTGGTCAACTTGGGAGCCAGCCGGAACTCCGTTCCTGTGCGTTCCTGTCCAAAAATAGACCTGAGGAAAACCAAATGTACAAAATTATCTCCAGATCCCTGTGCATTTAATCTTCCTCCTCCTCCTCCCCCTCCTCCTCTTCATCCTGGTTAATCTGGAAGTAACGCAGCTCATAGCTTTCCTTGCTGTTGGTGACCACATGCAGCCAGTCGCGCAAGTTCTTCTTCTTCAGGTACCTCTTGGAAAAAGGGACCTCGGAGGGGACGGTGATCTTGCTTTTGCTTCTCTCGATGGTCACCAGCCCCACCCCCCAGGTCGCCAGCTTTCCCGTTTACTTTGATCCGCTCCTGGAGGCACTGCTCGAAGTTGGCTGCATCCATCATACCATCTTCTACTGGGTGGGTATAGTCCAGAGTGAATTTCAATACCTACTTCTTTTTGCCACCCTTTGTGGCAGGCTTCTTCGCAGGCGCCATGGCGGCAGCAACGAGAGGGGGAGAAAGGAATGGAAAGCTCATCCCTTGAATAAACCTTTGTTGGTCTTAGAGGTGCCACTGGACTCTAAATTTGTTAAACTTCCAGAAGGTATGAGTTAGATACATGGGGGGATCTCATAGTCATTCAAATTACTGTCTTTGGACTGCCTACAGTCTTCCTAAATGCTTGGCTGAACTCCAGTGACCAGCAAATAACCCAGGAGTGTTGCCCCCAGGGTACGTAGCTGAGCTGTAGTGGAGAGATGATAGCTTAAGAAAACACCCCACTCAAGGGAAAGGGGGAAAGGATTACTTCTCTTGCTCAGTGTATTCACAGTCACGAAACCTTGGTAAAATTGCATAATAAAACACCTGTGTTCCGAAATAGCACTAATATAAAAAACAACTTGAACAAATCTAGAGTCCGGTGGCACCATTAAGACCAACAAAGGTTTATTCAAGGGATGAGCTTTCGTGTGCAAAACTAAATACCTAAATAGCTAAACTAGAGAAAACTAAGTAACAAGCTAAGATATGTCTTTGCATACCTTAAAACATCTTATTCATCTTGTTGCATGTAAATTTGCTGTTCAGCCCGTCTATAAGTTTGAACTCTACCTTCCATTCCAGTGTATTTGAAAAAGTGTGCCTTGCTCATACGAAAGCTCATACCTTGAATAAACCTTTGATGGACTTAAAGGTGCCACGGGACTCTACATTTGTTCTACTGCTTCAGACTAACATGGCTGCCCACCTGAAACTATCAAAAACAACTGATTTCTCTGTTGAAATGAGTACTCCCATCTCAGTATGCAAGAACTCTGACATCTGGCTTTCTATAACGCATTTCCAAAAGTTTCAGTCTCCATTCCATTCCTGCTCTGAAGATGGAGGATCCTTGGCCAGTGGCACCATCAGGGTTGGATTTGGGGGCAAACGCCCTAGCGTCCTGGTTTACCAGGTCAACAGCCCCTTGCTCCAAAACAGCAGATTATAGCAAGGAAGCTCTACCAGACCCAGAAAGCATGAGTAACGGGACTGAGTCAATATGTACAAAATTAGGTTATACAACACGTGCTTATCTGTAGAGACAAAAGGATGGGATGAAACAAGCTTCACATTTGGAATATGCATCACCATTTAAAGGGATGGGGGTCCTCACAAGCTAAAATGACCTAACTGCACTACTGTCCAAGGTTTCTGCCTTTGGTGAGGCATACAGGAAGTATATGGGGTAGAGTCACACCAGGAGGAACAGCAACAAGACTCACGTAAGCCAAACTGTGTTCAGACAGGTAAGTCTGACCAAAACGGACTGACAGGTATTATTTACAGAACTATCTTCAGAACTGCCACTCTAATTTTTCCCCTCTCTGGACTCTCGGTTGAAAGCCCAGAGTACATGAACAGTCTACTGATTTGCCTTAAATGAAAAGCAGCATTAGAAGCTCTGATTGGAAGAAGAACAGAAGTGGGAATGGCCTCCAGTTTGGTGTAGTGGTTAAGTGTGCGGACTCTAATCTGGGAGAACCGGGTTTGATTCCCCACTCCTCCACTTGCACCTGCTGGATGACCTTGGGCAACCCATAGTTCTCTCAGAGCTGTTCTCTCAAGGACAATTCTCGAAAGAGCCCTCTCAGCCCCACCTACCTCACAGGATGTCTGTTGTGGGGAGGGGAAGGAAAAGGAGACTGTAAGCCGCTCTGAGACTCCTTTAGGTAGTGAAGGGGGGTACAATTCCAATATCTTCTTCTTCCTCCTCTTTCTCCTGAATGGACCAGCCTGTCAGTTAAAACCCTCTCCCCAAGCCTCGCTCTTTGTGCCCCAAGCTGAAGGGATGGGGGGGGGGTGCCAGCCAGGGACAAGGCTTTTTCATAGGGTTACCAACTCTGGGTTGGGAAATACCTGAAGATTTTTGAGGCGGAGCCTGAGGAGATCGGGGATTGGGGAGGGACTTCAAGGAGATATAATGCCACAGAGAAGACAGATAAATTGATCTGTGTCACCTCGAGATCAGTCATAATAGTAGGAGATCTCCAGCCACCACCTGGGGGTTTGGAAAGAAGTAAACGACCGTGATGTATTATGCCAAAAAAGTCTTCAAAGACCAGAAATTTCCCCCCCCCAATATTTCAGTTTACTGGAAGAAATTCAAATACCATCAACACAACGGATCATGCATATTATCTCGTTTTGTGTATAACTTTTTCAAGGTGAGTAGCGTTGAAATACAATATTAATCCATTTGACAAACTCTCTAGTAGTATCTCATAGTGACGTTTGAGTTTCTTCCAGTAAACTGAAATATTGGAAAAAGAAATTTCTGGTCTTTGGAGACTTTTTTGGCGTAATACATCATGGTTGTTTACTTCTTTCCAAACTTTCATCCCGTGATCTCTCTCTTTGTTTTGCACCGCCTGGGGGTTGGCAACCTTACTTTTTCAGGGGTGGCGCACTGTCTCTGGAACACCCCTTGTGACTTTCATGGTGCCTATATAACCTAACTGTCCATCGGGCACTATTGGGCTTGCCAGCGGGGGACTGGGGGGGGGACTTACCAGGAGCAGCAGGGAGGCCCATCCAATGTACAGAAATGTGTCTACGTCACTGACCGTGTGACCTGGAAGTGACATCATCACTTCTGGGACGTTGGGGCAACACCCTGGTATTTGGACAAAACCTCTATTGCATCTATCAATAGAGTTTTTGCCCAAATACCAGAGTGTTGCCCTGATGACCTGGATGTGATGATGTCACTTCCGGGTCAGGTGGGCAGTGATGTAGACACGTCACTGCATGTTGAATGGATCTCCCTTTTTTGGGGGGGGTAAGTTCCCTCCCACCAGCCAAGCTGATCAGTGGCAGGGTGGTGGAGACTGGCAGCAGGGGACCCCCGCCTCCACTGGGGGGGAGGTCTGGCAACCTTAGGACCTATGCCAAAACAGTATTTTTTAATGAGGGCCCCATCTTTTTCAACTGCTTTCCTTGTCTTTTCCAATCAAAGGGTTGTTTCAGTAATATAATTTTAAGCGGCCAAATTGTTGTTTTATGCTACTTTTATGCCCTGTCTTGTTTTATATACTGTGGCTTCTTATGGCTTGTTTTTAATACTGCTGTTTTATGATGTTATTTATACTGCTTTACTTGTTGTGAGTCATGTCATGCAGCTCTTTGGAAAGATGGCATATTCGTTTTCAAGGCAAACAAATAAACAAGCAACCCTCTCCCCTTTGCTTTCCTTTTCTCATTCAAAATAATCAAATTATATTTGTGATGTATATCAGTAGCT